GAAGTTGCATCGAGTGAGATGACTCAGACACACATGTTACGCTCGCTAAGTCATCACCAACCAATCTCATCGAGCAATGTTAGCTGATATACAATTAAGTTGGAGAAGAGTTACGAGTGATTAAATCAAGAAAAGACATCAATCCATGATGGCTTTTGGCTGTAGGTTTGTACCACGTCGGGGGAGGTATAGACTGCTCGACTGGGGTATTTGAGATGCTAAGATCCAGTGAATGATGACTGTTAGTGATCCGGCCCATGTGCATTCACTCATTTTGAACATACAGATCAATCAAGCTTTTATCATTCTCCATGTACTTAATTATGCAATGAGGCCACGAAATAGCAAGCAAAAATAATGTTAATTGTATTTCTCTTAATTTTTTCATGCTACAATTGATTCCTTCTCTACATATATACTAATATACATTCCTTTTGAAAGGGAACTAGATATTAAAACAGTGAACATTTTCATTATCATTCAATTACGTGTCTAACGACAGTGAAAATAAACAAGGGAGGGAAGCTTTACTTCCTCGGTAGTTAGTATGATCTGTCTGTCTGGATTCAACATAGAACTTGTCACCGAAGTGCAGCAGTTCGAGTTGCCACGTTCCAAATAGCACACAGAGGTAGACAAGAAGATGAGTGAAGAGAAATAATAGAGTTTGACAAATATAAGAGTGAAACAGAATGGGTAATGGTAGAAAGGAATATGAAAGATTACAGAGATTGAATACATCTGCGCCACTGACAACGATTTTGAGCCATGTCGCCTATTGTCTCCAGCCATTGATTCCTAGAGTCAGTCCCGAGGGCCCCAACCCGGAAGTCTGAATCTCCCTCCTTACCTGACTCAGTTTAACTGTCAAGGATTTCATGTATTGATGAGGCCATGTTTTTGTTTGGCCACTACCACTTACTCTTTTCCAACCTTCACCTATATCAGCTAGTAATGCCCGCCTGTCGGGGGAGGCGATGGTTAGGCATGCGCAGTCATCTAAATCTATGTAACTTTATAGCCTCGTCAATTGATTTTCCCTGTTCGCCCAACACTCTACGCCTAACGTCAACATTACTTACCTTGTGAAACCACCTAACGTGAAACAGAGATCGCAGACATCTATGATAGAAAGCAGTCAACCCTTTCATGTCTTCAACTCGTATTGGCCATGTTTCAGAGCCATAGAGAAGGACGGAGCGAACTGATGAGCAGTACACACGTCTCTTGGTTGATAGCCGGATATCACGCCTACACCAGAGATGGTGTAAGTTGGTGAAAGCAGCTCGAGCTTTTTGGATCCGTGCTGAGATTTCTTCACCAATCAGTCCGTTGGTGCTGATACAACTTCCCAAATAGGCGAAGTGGTCAACATGTTCCTATAAATACTGGTAGTGATACAAGCATGTATAATTTGTCAAGCTGAGAAAAATCAGTTTTAATTGAAACGATGATCCGATGAACTGAAAGTGAGTTCAATCGACAATACTGAAAGGATGTCAACAAGATAATCCTCGAAGACAATGAAGTGGAACCAACATAAATCAATGCTTTTTAATGTTGTTGTCTTCTTGAGCTGTTTGGTTTAATTGTGGAAGCATCCGTTGTCCCTCCAGACATCTTCAGTTCTAACTTCAATGCAAAGTGATTTTTGGAATCCTCCATTTAAGAAGATACACTGTCAAAAAGGACAATGAGAACTTCATCACAATTAAACCACCTAGCTCAGGGAACACAACATACCACTTGAACAGAAAAAATCTTCTTCATTATTCTTAAAAAAGACCATCTAACTATCCAGTATACATATTTATTTTTCCTAATTTCTTCCTGGTATATTATAATTATCTTTTAGAAGATGAATTTCTTTCTTTCTTCTAGTTGCATTTTTATTGACTTAAAATGTTTTGGCGTCTTCAACCGTATCCGTAGGTCACAAAAAGAGGAAATGAGTTTATCAGAAATATTGGAAAATAAATTCTCTCTCGTAAGACAGTGTGTACAGGTAAATCAAATCCCTTAGTATACCAACAACTATCCTACCTCTTTGTGGCTATCTTTGTCTCTGTGATATACCATATAATGCTCTCAAAGAGATGAATGAAATACTCATGAGATTAAAACTCTGGGGATATACTAAATAATAAATAATATATGTATGTACGTATGTATACAATGAATGAAGAAATCTTCTCGCTAATATAGTTCAACTGTATATCAGGATGAAGATAACAAAATACGACTGGATAATGTTTACTTGATCGACTAAAAGGTTGTAAACTTTACTTTTTAGCAAAGTTTCAACTTCAGTAGACACAACTTCAAAGTATTATATCCCAAAGAAGGTTTTAAGCCAGAAGTAACCGAAAAAATTAGGAGGAATACGAAAGGGCAAAACAAAATGATTCAATAATGCAATATGACTAAATCCCACTTATTAGTTGATATTTTTTTCTCCCGTTTCTTCCTATAAGCTTTGACTATTCCTCTTCGAAATACTACTGTTAGCTGTCTTTGATTACAGATGTTTGCATTCTATCTTGCATGATAAGTGGTACAATATGGTGAACAGTACTGAGGTTAGCCGTACAGTGTTAGGTAAATAGGGAAAGTCAATCGCTGAGGTTGTGAAGGTGAATCACCTGAGATGGCTAGGATAGAAGTTGCGCACGCCCGGCCACCTCTTTCCTTCACAAACAATATTAGCTGGCATAGGATTGACTTGGAAAAGAGTTAAGGGTGGGCAAATCAAAACATTGCATCAATCCATAAAGCTATTGACACTTGGTTTGAGCTATATAATGAGGTGTAGACTGTCTGGGTGGAGTCCTTGGAATGCTAAAATCCGATGACTGGAGTTTGTTGGTGAAATGGCTCATCCCATACAATCCTGTGTATTATAGTTCATTTGAATCTCTTTCCCGCCCCCTTTTTGTCTACCTTTGTGTGCTACATGAAGTGTGGCAACTTGAACTGAAACACTTCTGTGCTTCTTTCTATACTGGAACCCAGTCAGTCAGTTATACTACTGAAATTATCATACTAAATTATCATATTAATCTCCAGCTTATTAGTAACTGGTTTCCGCATAGGTTTTGCGATGTTTTACTGATGGGTTGGCTGTGGTGATATACAGCCACTCTGTATATGAACCTTGACTTTAGAGGAAACTTAGCGTTAGATATCCTACGGAGGGAGAATTTCTACTTTCGTGGAGAAAACCTTTCCTGTAGAAATAGTAAGCCTGATATTCTCTAGCTAACTACTGCTTCTAAGCAACGTGATGGAGAAACTCCTGCAAACGACCACTCCTATGTGCTCCTGCGGAGCTAATTACACCGATCGTTCCATGCTCGTCTTTTTGAAACATGTTAGAGAACACCAACCAACATGATCACGAGGAAGCAGCACTGGTTCAATCAGAAGCGTCATCAGTGAGCACATCGTCAACACCTATCATAGCATCTCAACTGACTCATCCATCATTCAGAGTCATTTACAAAGTAAACAAAAAAATCTACCAGAGTAGGCATGTTTCCGACTTCTTCGTAATGCAGATCTCGACATAGGCATCAAAAAGTCTGGAGCTATGTGTTCAGAAGAAACTAATCCAACTTCTATATTTCCAATAGGTTTAGTTCTCTTTGACACCTAAGTTTTCGTTTGTGTGCTTTTTCATTTGTCCACTTATTCATCTTCAGTTATACAGAAACCATTATTTCAATTCGTTCTATGCACACATTCCATTTAGATCTGTCTTTGTTAAAAAGACCTACTTTCCATATTACGCAACTGTTTTGTAATCCGATGTCATTTTGTCTCTACACTCCTTATAATCTAGCCAAACCTTTAAACTTTAATTCAAAATTAAAAAATCTACCTTCTTTATTATGATAAACTAAATAATAATTGTAACTATGTAAACATATGTATATAAATGCAATTGTGCAGCTGTTTTTGAGGATGAAATCTGCAAAAACATATCTTCGTTGGGCTTCTTGTTCTTCTTACTTTAATATGTCTGTCTGTTTTCAACATAGAACTTTGAACCGATGTGCACCAGTTCAAGTCGCCACACTCCCTCCATGTAGCACACAAAGCAACAGAAGAAAGTAGAAGAAATGAATAATAGAGACAGTAAACACAGGTGTGAGACAAAGGAATAGTAATAACGAAGAACAAAACAGTTTCATTTGAAATCATAAGTCACAAGGAGTGGATGCATCTGCACCAGCCATTGAGAACGATTTTGAGCCATATCACCAATTGTTTCCAACCATTGGTTTTTATCGTCCCGAGGACCCCAACCAACCAAGAAGTCTACACCTTCCTACGTGGCTGGCTTAAACTAACTGTTGTAGATTTCATTGACTGGTGAAGCCATGTTTTGATTTGACAGCCGCTAGCTCTTTTCCAGCCTGTCCCTATATCAGCTAACATTGCTCGTCGAGGAAGACGATGACTAGGCATACGTAACACATGTCCTAACCATCTCAATCAATGTAGCTTCACAGCCTCGTCGATGGATTTCCCCTCCCACCTACCTATCACTCGATGCCTAACCTCAATATTCCTCACCTTATTATACCACTTCACACGGGAGATAGAACGCTTTAATATAGCCAATTGACAAAGATTAGAATTTATTAGTATATTAGATTACAACTCAACGTCTCGAATGCTCCATAGCTTTCAATGATTCTTTAACTAAGGTAAAGGCAATGAAGAAACTACCTATTCTCATTGTACAACGCTTCAGTCAATCAGCAATGTTACGTATTGCGGAAAAAATGTTGTACATGCTCCCTGATAAGTAGAGAAAGGTTGACTGCTATAGAATTCCATATCTAAAATGCAATTTCTCATTCAATTTAAATTTAATGAATTCAGAAATTAACACAAGTGAAAAAAAAAATTAAGCCATGAATTATTAAGAATAAGGCAAATAAATAAATAAATTAATTAATTAATTAAATACACATAATTATAATATAACTTACCAGAACATCATTATTTTCAATAGTTTTACGAAGATAATTAGAATTGTGATTGACTTCAGTTGAAGAGGTAGTAGTAGTAGTAATAGCAGTTATTGTATTAGTAGTAGTTGTTGTTGTAGTAGAAGTAGTAGTAGCGGTATTATCAGTAGTATTGAATAAATTACAATTAGAATAACGACGAATTAAACGTGATGATATTTTACCAGGATATGAACTAGATAAATCAATACTAGTGCGTGGATCCCAAGGGAGTTGATTTTGTCTGCGTGTTAAACCAGCACTAGGTCGACGACGATAATTATCTTAAATAATTGAATTAGATTAGAAGAAAGACAGATAGATAGAATAGAATAGAATGAGTGTATTACAAACTACGTTTTTTAATACGTATACATTGTAGAAGATGCAAGACAATGAAATAGGAGGAATAGAAGAAGTCACTCTCAAGTTACCTTAATATACCTATACTAACTACTAATAAGATATTTATTTACCCCTTAAAGTAAGTAAGTAAGTAGAGAAAAGTATGAACTCGTGACCTTATTAATGCTTTAAAAATTAATGAATAGAGAGAGAGAGAGTTAAATAAGACAGACACGTATAAACGACGCAAAATCTTCTATTCTAAAAACACCTAAGGCGTATTGATTTAATTTGATAAACTTTACAATAGTAAATTTCGTCTGGAAAAGAGATGAGGGTTGTTAATCCAAATTTGTTAATTATTTATTTGGTTACAGGATTTCATCATGAGCTGACATAGGTTAGAGAACCATAGGAGAACTTGGGAGAACTCGACAGCTGTGTCATCCAAATGCTTGGGACTCCTCATCACAATGCACACATTGGGAGGGTTCGAACCCAGGATCTTCAGGTTATCAGGCGAGTTCATAGACCATTAAGACACTGGGACCCAATCCAATGGCCAGTCCATGAATTCTAATTTCTGCCAGTTCACGAAATAGCGCGACTGGCACTAGTCAATGTCATCGATGACGAGTATTTGTCTTCACACCCGACCTGCTTTACCCTACTGGTCACGATTTCACGCAAGAAACCTCGTGGGTGCGTACTGATAAATAGTCCCAAACTAGAACGAAACAGCTGTTCAATACTCCCAGATTTTCCAATGGTTCTCGAACCGATGTCAGCTCATGATGAAATCCTGTAACCAATCAATCAAATCAAATTCACTCGGGTCCCGAGTAAGACATATTGGCTTAAATAGCACGTCTCAGTTCCACCCTGTTCTATGCAGTCCTTTTAGGCTGACTCCAGGATTACCCATAACATTTCATCTACCTACGTACACTGTCATCTCCACGTTACCTTCTGAAACAGGCCCAATTCACGGTTTCTGATTTGAGTTCCTCTCTAAAGCCTCGCGTGTGGTGTCTGTCACCAATCTTCTCATATGATGCCCAATAATTTTCATTATGCGCACCCGCTGGGTAATACGTTCTTGGTTGATTGCCTGTCAGGGTTCCTTGTTGTTTATCTTTAGTGTAGAGCCAACGCAACTATTGACAAATAGCTGGAGACTGTTGGTAATGACTTCGGTGACGCGTGACATCACTGTACCATACAGAAGAACTGACTTTACACTAGTGCTCAAAATCAGAATCTTGTTCCTTATACTGATTTGCCCATTCATCTCGGATTAATAATGAAGGTCTGTGTTGATGCTTTTGTTTTCGGCTTTGACATCTGCTTGTAGTTTAAACAGTGCTGCCTGGTTAAGTGAAAGAAGTTCAAAACATGGCACTATACAATTAAATCTCTGATAACTGATTTGAGCCACATAGGTCGTCTAAACAGGGATGCTCAGAATCACTGGTGTAACACTTGGCGGCATGGCTTAAAGTCATTCTCAGTGTTGCATATTTATTCTTTATCTGTTGCCTTTTAAATTCTGAAAATCCTCATATATCCAACTCGAATTATTTCTCCCTCCACCCCCACCAAACATTCTTTTCTGTAGCGCTTTAAATGCATTACTTTTTCTCCTAGTATGCGCTGAATCGATAATTCAGTTTAGTTTGGTTCAATACGTCAACTATGCGTTAGATAGGAACTATATGTAGAACAACAGATGAACAACTTTGTTTCCGAATACAATGCATTTGTAAAGGGTATTGACACTTCAACAAATGATATAATGCTGTTGAATCAAGGGTTTTTCACAAAATGAAGTAATGAGATTTTTGATCCAGGCATTTATGAAAAAATGAAAACAAGTGGTTGTTCAACGAAGATGCTATTTGACTGGATGCTAACCAGTGTCATGCACCTAGACCCTTGTTTCGTGTAGACCAAATCCTATCAGTCAAGTTTGCAATGTGGCTCGCCATCACGGCGCACCCAGAATTATTAGATCGTTGGAGGCGATCGGTAGAAAACATTTCCTGATCAGGGTTTCGCGCTCGTCAGCACACACCAGTCAGCAGGGCGTGTCTGCAGTCCTTAGGGAATCCACATCCCTTCTAAGATTCGAACACGTATCACCCAGTGTTGAAGTCAGAGACGTTACCACTGAGCTATTCAGTCTCAATATTGACCTCCTGACGGTCTAGTATTACATAGTTTGATTGGACACCTAACTAGTGTCGAACGTTCAGTCCTTTGTTTGATGTAGTCCGAAGAGTCACTTTTCGGCGAATTCATTTTCATTCATTGCCTAAAAGACAATAGTGGTGCAATAAAGAGTGCGATAATTAAACACCTGGTTAACACTGATCATTCCATTTCAATAAATGCCTCCTGCTTCAAAGTAATCTACAAAGTCAAGAATAACCGATCAAAGGCAACACGGTTTCGTCTGCTTTATATCGCTGTGCATACAAAAGAAGATTACTCAACCACTTCTACTGTCATGGTAACAATTTTTTGTTTTGATTTGATTTCTTTTTGATTTTAATGACTTAATTTTGTTTCTTAGCCTGTTCTTTAATTGCTTATAATTCTTGCATTCATTCAGAACTCTTACATAATTTCGTATCATCTACTTTGTTTCTATGTGCATCCTGAGTAAAACTCACTCATCAAACTATTCATATTATTATTACATAACTTCTTTTAACAACTGTTTGTGACAACTCATCACCTTTGTTACTACCCTAATTTTATTAACACCTAATTTTCTTGACTGTACTACCAATCTTCACCTGTTCAGTTAAAATAACCTCAACCAATTGTAGTTTTGTTTGACAAACTTAATGTACACACACATACAAAATAACACATATATATTTGCGATTGTACAGCTAAGAAAATGAATTCGCCGCCGAAAAGAGACTCTTCGCTGATCTACGTGTTTTGTTCTCAAACTTTTTTCCACAAAGGAAAATTGTGATAAAATTGATGGGTTATCATAATCATAGTCGCTGATACAAATCAATACATAAGAGAACTTGAATACGAATGTTAGAGTTAGGTAATGAGATAAATAATTTAATGAACGAGTTGTAATCAGTTAGGGCGCACGTAGAAACGAGGGAAAATGACATTACGTAACAGTGCCGAAGAAAGAGAAGAGTTAAAAAAGATTTTTTGTTTAAAAAAAAGAATCGGGTTGGTTGAAAACAACAGGATCGTTACCACAAGAGTAGAAATGGTTGCATGATTCGCTTTTTTATGTGCAGAGCTGCGGTTTCTCAGTCTACATGGCTAGAGCTTCAACAATGCAGAAAAGATGAACTAATATTTTCCAGCCACTGATTCTTGACATTCCAAGGAGCTTAACTAGACAGTCTACACCTCCTTACGTGGCTCAAACCCTAACTCTTTTCTAATCCAACCCTACGTCAGCTAGAATAGCTCGTCGAGGAAGGCTATGCCTAACCTCAATATTGTTCATCATATTGTAATAATTATTAAAGAATATAGAACGTGAACATCTATTATCGAAGACACCCAACCAAATTAATGAAGATAGCGCCAAATTTTATGGTTCATTAATGCGGTATCCACAATGAGTAGTGAAAGTCAGACATGAATATTACAAATTCCTTTGTTTATAGTTTTCTTCATTTCAAAATGAATTTTAGTGGATATTGTTTAAATGCACCTTTGTGACATTTAACTACTTATTTGAAAAAGACACCTACATAGGGCGCTAAAAAATATCTTAGAATCTGTTTAGTTAAACAATTAAATGTGCTAACAATAAACAGACAATATTGGTTTGTAGGGATTTCGTTGATTGGTTACAGGATTTCATCATGAGCTGGCATTGGTTTGAGAACCATTGGAAAACCTGGGAGTCACTCACTGGTGACAGGCCCTATTCAGGTAGGTAGTTACCTGGGTTCCCAGTGGAAAGTCGTGACCAGTAGGGTGCAGCAGGTCAGGTGTGAGGACAAATACTCGCCGAAGACATTGACCAGCGGTTGCGCTATATCGTGATTTGGCAGGAGTTAGAATTCATGGGCTGGCCGTTGGATCGGGTCCCAGTGGCTTAATGGTCTACGAGCTGGCTCGCCTTGTAACCAGAAGGTCCTGGTTTCGAACCTGGAGGTGGGTGGGTACTGCGGAAGAGCCCCAACTAGGACGAAACAGCTGTCCAGTACTCCCAGGTTTCCAATGACTATCTAGCCAATGTCAGCCCATGATGAAATCCTGTAACCAAACAGACAATAATTAAAATGAATTCATATACACTGATAGAAAATTTCGCTTAAAAGTTGTTATATTTGCACTGAACGGAATGAAACCTCATCGCCACTTCGTTATGTCTGCGTCGCTAATTGTTATAACGCTAATGAACTCAACTGTTACGCTTATATGCCTATGCGTCAGTTGAACCATCTACTTCACTCAGCCACGCAAATATCAAAGACAAAACTGGAGTCTGTGACTGTAAAATAACAGTACATTTATTAGAAAAACAACACATCATATTTATACCTTTGCTTTGCTACAATAACGTCAGCTCACAGCCGTGAGAAATTATTGATCACACAATAAAATCACAATATGCGTAAGAAGGGATGATATACTATTTTATACTGGATCCTATCATCAAAAGACTATAGTGACTTAAACGCCGAATAATATTAAACAGAAACGAATATATAAGAACTACATCAAAACATGGAATTATTCATGAAGTTTTAACTGTTTGTTTGAGATGTCTTCGATCACAGATATTTGTGTTCTATCTCCCGTGGTAAATGGCATAATATAGTGAGCGGCAAATCAGTTGGTGAGATTGCCAAGATGAATCGACTGAGATGGCTAGGACAAGTGTTAGGCATTACGAGCCACCGCCTCCCACAATTACACATGCTAGTTGAGATTGAATCAGGTTGGAAAAGAGTCATGGATGGTCAAACCAAAACCTGTAGCCAATCCATGCAGTCTCGACTGACGGTTTGTGTCAACCACATAAGAAGGCATAGATTGCCTGGCTGGGGTCTTAGGGATGCTAAGATGCCAATGGCAAATATTTTTCCTTCACGTTCTCCAGTGGAACATATGGCTTCAAGCTAGTGGCTTGAAGTCGCTGTAGCAGCGTTTATTTTACAGATGGGGTTGCTAGCCTCATGCCCAACCTTTCCTCTTTACCACCATTATTTCTGGCTTAGCGAGTTAAAGGAGTGCATTGGCGGCCAGTGATCGAACCCCGGACCATGTGCATGGTCGGCAGGCGTCCTAACCGCTACGCCACCGACGCACCCACGGCAAATAATCATACTCAATGGCCCAAGTGAATTCACTCTGTGTAATAGTATAGATCTAGTAAATTCTCTTTATTGTTCATGTAACTATTCTTTCTTAAAGGAAACTTTCCGTTTATTGAAGTTTCATTACATTCTTCCTACAACCTTGATTATGAATTATGAAGTGTGGCAACTTGAACTGCTGCGAATTTATCCACGAAAATTCAGTTCAGAAGTATCTTTCAAGATGCTAATTCAGAAAAAATTGTCAATCGATATAAACGGTAGTATGTTGTAAGGAAACATTTTATCCACCGAATTAAACTGATACTAAGCACAAAAATGTGGAGGACTGATTCGTGAATTCAAATAAGGATACTATAAAATTTTCAGACATGACATAAAGTGGTAATCAGAGAAAAAGATTCTGAGAAAACTATTCAATGCTAGAAGTGTGTTGAATCTGAATACAACAAGAAAAGTTTACACGATTTATGTGTAGACTTACATTTCACCTTTTGAACAGTTGAGAAATTCGATAGTATATCCAATTGATTTGCTGACGCTGACAGACGTGAACTTTTGAATCCTGATGTAACAGTACCTGGTGTTGCAGGCGTAACACTTCCTGAGGTTGGAATACACAATTTCAACTGTGTGTGATCTATACCCTGATTAGGACTTAATCCCAGAGTATTAGCTAATATTGATGCACCAGGTACCCTATTATTACTGGTTCGTAATACACGTGAATGACTATCTAACTGTGGCAGTTGACGTTTAGCTAATCGACGTTGTACAGCTTCTAGTAATGTTGAATACTTTGGTGTCGACTGACTTTCATCTTTCTCTAGATAAGAAGATTGTAGAAAATTTCCAGCTGTTTTTAACAGAAAATTATCTGCACGTGATACAGCAGCTAATAGGCAATCCAAATTACCGGCACCAAGGAGATGAGCTGCAACTGCTATACAATCTAGCGTTGCAATCCGTACCTACAATATGCGAAAGAAGTAATTTATTCCACAATATTAAAAGCAATAATGGAAAAGAAACAAATACACATGTATACCCGTTCAGTAAAACAGCCATCTGGATGAATGTACAATTAAAGTGTGAGTCAAATTACTCAGAGTTTTCAACCACTAGCTCTCACATCTCACTTCCTTCTACCACATTTCTCAATCTAACATAGCGATCTATCATAATGATCCTGATTATTTATTTATTTATTTAAACGCAGAAAAAACTTGGTACAATATGGCACCAGGAAAGATGCGCCACACAATAATAATAAAACAACATAGATTAAAAGTAAAAATATAAGTAGAAAACGGATAAAGAACTTCATCTGGAAGGAAAACAGTCATGCTTAATAAATTCGTATTCGTTAACTACCATCGGGAAGGGAAGAAAGAAGGAAATTGCAACACGTTCGCCATTGATTACGATTCTTGGCCATATCGATAACGTTTCCAGCCATCGATTCGAGCTATCTCGCGGACCCCAACCAGGGAGTCATGACGCACCAACCGATGCTAATCTAGCACAAACATCCTCCACCCCACGACGCCACGTCATGGACTGACAACCCACCCCTCCGTCTTTTCCATCCCGTCCCAGAGCTAGCGAACAGAGACCTGTGCGGAAGCCTCTGGGATGACATTCGAAGCACATGTCCAAGCCACCGGAGCCAGTGTTTCCAGATGATGACACTCAAAGAATGGTGATCTCCACTGTGTTCAAACACACGCCGCCGAACCGCAGAATTACTCACGCGATGATGCCATCGAACGCAAGCAATCCTGCGGAAACAGTGATGATCGAACACGCAGAGTCGCCGCCCATCCTCAGCTCGGAGAGGCCAGGTTTCACAGACGTAGACAAACACAGCCCGCACCGAAGCATTGTATACCCGACCTTTGACAGCCAGGCTAACATCACAACGGCGCCATAGGTGGCTGAAGTCGATGTATCCCACCCTAGCCTTTAATATACGGTTGGAAATCTCATCCGACACCCCTCCGCCAGCACTCACACAACTACCCAGGTACGCAAACTTATCAACAACTTCAAGCAATAAATGAAATAAAGCAACAAACCATCATTGAATGATCCTGATGAGATGTGAGCACCAGAACACTCATCACTAACATATTATACAGGGATACAGTTAAAAGCATAATTTTTAAGAGAGTTATACAATGATAAACTGTACTTCATACAAATCAATGTGTCCTAATAACTCTAACTCCTCTTTGTTACATAAAAAGATTGAAAGACCCATCACCTCAACTGACAAGAGGTGGTCTATGACTATGGACTCGATGAAGTAAAGCTTCCTGATTAGATGGGTTTATTTGATATGGCACACAGTGATACAGTACTGATAACTAGATGACGTTACTAGCACAATTCATTTCTCATAACCATGTCAAATTATTCACACGGCTTCATCATTTACTTCAAATATTTTTTCTGTTCCCACTTGTTGTTTGTTGCACTTTTCCATACATTCGGTATACACATTGCGTCATTTCAACTGGACGTGTTTGTTGTTTATTCGATGACCAAATATTCGGTTGCTAACCTCGCTCTCCACCTGACTATATTACTTTATAATACTGTTACCATGTCCCATCCTATTGTGTAGTGAAATGCAAATGAATGCAATGCAATGGTGGAGCTTTTTTCTCGGTTATTTAGCTTAACAGGGTCAATTATTCTAGCTCTAGCTAAATGCCTGTTCTGATGATCTAACTGACACCGATCTACTAGTTTGTGCAAAGGATTCGCAATGCAATAGATTGTGCTTGAGAGGTATTCCAGCTATTATTACTGCACCAAGTAAACTTATCTAGCATGTAATAATACTCTATCACAGTGCTCAAGATGCTACGCATACATTATTAAAGCTACCTGAATCAAAATAACCTAGAATAGCATAAGAATGACCTAATCTAGATATCAGTCAGATTTCGCGGTGATACTTTAAGGTATCTTGATCATTTAGTTGCTTTCTGTGATAGGATTTTTCCGAGAGAATCTTTTGATTTCAGTTTACAAATTTAAACATTATATGCAGCTAAACATTCGAAGACAGATAAGTATCTGAGCCATAAACTGCTAACAGTTAAAAAAATTAATTCTCAGATAGTCTAAGCAGAACCATGCACAAAGTAATAAGTCATGTTTATTTTTGTGGAATCGGAGATACTATAGAGTCCTTACTACATCTTAATTAAGACATTGTTCAAACTCCCCATTCAATGGTTTAAAACCACGTCAGAAGAGATACGGACATTAGCTATTAGCTTACTAACACCAAAAGCTGAAATGATTCCGAAATTCAACAGAAAAATCTTCACTTGATTTTAAAACACCCTCGGATTAGCGCGACCACCGACCAATGTCGTCGGTGGGACATCCATCCTCACACTTGACTGGATAGACATCAATGGTCACGACTTCTCACTGGAACTCCAGGAAACTCCGTCCGGTCACACTAGCGAGCATCAGATTAATTTTCAAGAATTGGTTTGTAAGGATTAGATTCGCTTTTACGAGTTTGACCACGGATTGAATGGTATCCGAGCTTGGCTTGTAACCGCAAGGTCCTGGGGTTGTAACCCCAGTGGGTGCGTACTGTCGAGGAGTCCCAAACTAGGATGAAACAGCTGTCCAGTAATCCTGGTTTCCAGTGGTTCTCTAAATGATATCGATCCGTGGTCAAACTCGTGAAAAAAATCTAATCCTTACAAACCAACTTTTGTAAACCCTTCGGATTATTTTAATTTTAAAAAGATTCAATCAAATTCAGTGCTCAATTTATCCCACGAAATAGGTAACATTTATAAACTTATAGGCACATTGCTCCATATTACGGCAGATAAAATGCAATAAAGTTACATTGTTAACCCATCAATGAATAAAACGTAAAATCTGGAAGGCCGAAAAAACATTCCAACCAGAGGCACTCGAAAACTTAGTTGAAAAAAGAGTTTTAAAAAGGGCAACCAAGGAATCTGTCATACAAAATGAGGATTAATATAAGTTTGAATTTGCGTTAGATCATAGACAGATATTACACGTAAACAAGAACAGGTTTCCGCTTCAGACTAAAACGACTCATTTCATTGATGTTTTTCCCACTGAAGAGAAGACAATACCATTTTATCTCAACTGTATCCTGTTATTTGAGTTCGCAATATTTGACTAGCAAGCCAAGATAATCTTCATTGCAGCACACTTCTTATAAGTGTAATATGGTTGAAGGCGATCAGCAAGATGTTATAAAAAGCATGTCGCTGATCTCTTTACAGTACCAAACAGTGCATTAAATCCAGTTCAAAAAGTAATCAAAACGTTCACTAGCAACATCAATGATTACAATACTGGATTCCATGAGTTCAGATCTCTGTGTGCAGACGATTTCCTCAGGCCTTCAAACACGCCCAACTGAAAAACACAACAAAAATGTGAACTCTAGGTTCAGTTTACTTCTTAAAACTACCACAATGAACACACTGATTGAATGTTTGAATGGCTAAATACACAGAAAGCTAACTTCCAACTCTCTTAAATGTCTTATCCTGAGTCCCGTTAAAACTTTTACAGTATACACAACAAATTTATAGGACAAAATAAATTGGATACGAAGCCAAATTTAAGGGAGTATCAGAAACGAAAACGAAAGCATATCGACATACAGAAGACGATTTCGTCAGTAAGGAAAATTTCCTTCGTTGAATTGTCTTTAATTTTCTTCATGAACTAATTTGTATAGGCGATCATATGTATATATACATATTGCATGGAGGATTTCATCATGAGCTGACATCAGTTAGAGAACCACTGGAAAACCTTGGAGTACTACACAGCTGTTTCTTTTTAGCTTGGGACTCTTCAGCAGCACACACCAACCGGGGTTCGAACCCAGGACCTTTTGGTTACAAGGCGAGTTCGTAGACCGTTGAGCCGCAGGGACCCGACCTGTGGTCTCAGATTTGCTTCAATGATCTTATGAAAAAGTAACATTGAAATCAAAATGTAGAGTAATGCGTTAAGACGGTTAATTGCTGCTAATACCGAGCTTTCACCTTCCTAAGCGAGTAATGTTTCCCGGTGTAAGATTATGTCAAATAAACATTTAGGAACTGTAGCCAAAAAATGTGGTCAACTGACATGAATCAGATAATCACAGGAAGCCACAAGGTACTGGACACTGGGATTAAGACTCATTCAACAGCGTAGTACCTGAAAGATTCAAAAGATTTATGAGGTATAGCCTAATAAAACTGTCGACAACCATAAAATTTTGTTAAATCATAAAAATTGGCCCTAGTAAGTAAAAGTCATCTATAAATTGAATGAAATCAAAGCACTCACTGTCAGATTTGCTACACAACGACTCAGTAATTCGATAGCATTTAACCTGAAAGTCCTCCAGTTTTGAATTACTCGAAAATATTCCTATTTTATGCATAGGTTTGTTTAAATCAATAGACTGACTAGTTTTCAATATCCAGGAAAATGTATCAAAGCTAAACTGCTTCATTATACTGTTATCATCCTATTAAATCCCCACGATTGCAATCTCCACAGTAACGCCCATTTCTAAATAGATTTCAGCCTACTGATATAACATATTTTTCGAAGGATATAAAGTATCACAAAATGATTGGAGAGTCCTTTAGACAAAACAATATTGCCTCAAATTACAAATTATCGATTATTATGGTTACTATCACTATCACTGTTGATTATGAACAAGGAGGAAACATTTCCCAATAAAACACGTTGAGAATTATTTAGTGAGTATAGACATTTTTTTTTCAAAATCAACCTGTTACTATTAATTCATATAAGAATAAAACTTGTGCACTGTGGTAGAGTATAATTCCATTATGGGTAAATTTTTTGTTTTGATAAAGTGTCACAGTGTTATACAGTAATGTTTACTGATGACGTTTCGAGCACAATTTACTGCCACTCA